AAATCATTTGGCTACTAATGGAAAAATTGATGGTTTGATCCCACCAGCTACTTTGCAAGGGGAAGATGTGGCAGTTGGCTTCCATAAAAATTTACAGCCTTAGAGGGCAGTTCTACTCTGTCCTATAGAGTTGCTATGAGTTGGAATCAACTCGATGGCAATGGATAGTATTGTACAAAAAAAAAAAAAAAAAAACACTAAAATTATTAGAAGGCTGGTGGTTCAAACCCATCAGCCACTCCTTAGAAGGAAAGTGGGGAAATCTAGTTCCATAGTGATACTGCCTCAGAAACCCAAGGAGGGGTCACTATGAGTTGGGTCCAACTCAATGGCACACAACAACAACAACAAAAAAAATTATTTGTGGAAATGGAGGGTGCTCAACCATACAAGGAAATCAAAAAATCTAAATTGGGCTTAATTTGTTGATATAAGTAAATGTCAAATGTATTGTTTGTGCAGCTAGGAGAGATCATTTGCTGGTTTCGTTGATGTTATTCTGAATCCAAAGCTATTCCATTTTAAAGGACACAGACATGCTAGAAATTCCTTTGGCATGGTATGAAGGTAGAAATAAGATTAATGAACAAGATACCCTGTCAAGGAGTGAGGAGGAAACAAAAGTTAGAGAAACTGGAATTCCATCATCCAGAACTTTGATGGTTGGACTCTCTCTACCTGCACTTAGAAGTGGTTCATTCTAATGACAACATATGAGGCTTCTACAGAAACACTAAAGTTGTATGGTTCCTGTGCTATCAAGATTTCCTTCAAAGCTGAAACTCCCCAGTATCATTTCTATAAACTTGCTTTTCTCATAAGTTGGTAGGAGTTGGTTTCTGCTGCTTATAACCAAAGAATCCTAACAAATACAATGTTCTTTCTCATTCTACTCTGAGCATTCCTTAAACGTCCTAGACTCTCTTCTTCTCCACAGTGTATACTTACCTGAAAAGTTTTCATCCACTCCAATAACTTTAGTCATCATCAATATACTGAAGATCCACAGACATAGTGATGATGATTCACAAATATCTATCTCTATGTCAGATAGATAACTCTCCCACAGGAACTTCAAATTCAGTCTACATAAAAGTGAACTCAACTTTCCTTACAAATTTCACCTTTCTATATTTTCTATTGGGAGCTCTGGTAGTGTAGTGCCTAAGGCACTTGACTGCTAACCAGAAGGCTGGCAGTTCACACCCACCAGTCACTCCTCGGAAGGAAGATGAGACAATCTACTTCCGTACTGATACTGCCTTGGAAACCAAAGGAGGGGTCACTATGAGTTGGTTCCAACTCAACGGCACATAACAACAACAACAACATATTTTCTATCAATGAATGGTACCACCATCTTCCCCATTTTTCATACCACAAGCTAGTGAGTCTTGATCTAACTCTTCTGTTTTTGACTCCATTTTGACTCCCAACAGTCAATTAATAATGTTCTTTCCATTTCCCTTATTATATTCTTAAAACTATCTTTTCTATATATTTCATATTCTTATAGTAACTATCTTTGTTGATTTATTCCTTCCTATGTGGTTCTATGGTGGCGTAGTGCTTAAGGCATTTGACTGCTAACCAGAGGGCTGAAGGTTCAAACCCATCAAGCCACTCCTTGGAAAGAAGACTGTAGAGATACCTCCTGGGAAACCTAAGGAGGGGTCACTATGAGTCAGATTCAACTCAACAGGAGTGAGTTTGTTTTTTTTAAAAAATGTGGTTCCTACTTCCAATATTTTCTACCCTAAAAAAAAAAGAAAAAGAAAAACTCCATATTGCAAACAGAATAGTCTTTCTAAATAAAAAATATGTTCTTGTCATTTTCTCATATACACTGTTTCAATGTTTCTCCATTGCCCTTGGGAAGAAGTCCAAATTCGCCCATTTCTCTTTACAATACACTCTAGTCAGCCACATTAAACATCTGCAGTCTAGGATGATGCCATAATTCTAGCACCTATAGGCCTTTGTTCCCCTATTCCCTTTAATGACTATTCCAACCCCTTTCCCATTGCTAACTTCTACTCATCTTTCAGATCTCAAATTAGATATCACCCCCAAGATAAGCAGTTTCTAAACCTCCTAGATCTGTGATGTCCAATGACAGCCATCAGCCATACATAGGTATTAAGCACTAGAAATGTAGCTTGTCTGAACTGAGATGTACTGTAAGAATAAAATACACAATAGATTTTGAAGGCTTAGTATGAAAACAAGAAAGTAAACTGTCTTATTAGTAATTTTTATATTGGTTGCATGTGAAATAATATTTTTAATATATTGGATTAATTCAAATATATTATTGAAGTTAACATCACCTGTTCATTTTCACATTTTTAAGTGGCTGGAAAATATTTTAAATTAATGTGGCTTACCAAAAAACCAAAAACCAAACTCACTGCCCTCAAGTCCAATCTGACTCATAGAGAACCCTCCTTGGGTTTCCAAGGCAGTATCACTATGGAAGCAGATTGCCCAATCTTCCTTCCGAGGAGTAGCTGGTAGGTTTGAACAGCCAGCCTTCTTGATAGCAGTCAAATGCCTTAGGCAACAATCCCTAGACTACATGAAGAGTCCTTTTTTTCAGTAACACACAGTTATTTCTTTAGGAGCTCTGGTAGCATAGTGCCTAAGGCACTTGACTGCTAACCAGAAGGCTGGCGGTTCAAACCCACCAGCCACTCCTCAGAAGGAAGGTTGGGCAATCTACTTCCATAGTGATACTGCCTCAGAAACCCAAGGAGGGGTCACTATGAGTCGCGTTTGACTTGACAGCACATAACAACAACAACAACAACAACATAGTTACTTCTTTAGCAGCATTTATTACTTGTTAAAATTGCTAGTTTGTCTCCTGCACTAGACTGCAAGTACCTCATGGATCAGAAGCTGTCTTGGTCAACACAGTAATTCCAGAGCCAAAGGGGCTACAATAAATATTTGTTGAATGAATAAAGCCTGATCTTTTGATTCCAATCCAAGTCTTGGGAGAATGCAGTATATGGTGGGGGTTAAAGCATTGATTCTGAAGTCTAACTGCCTAGATTTTAATCTTGGCTGTTGGAGTTGCTAGTTGTGTGATTTTTGGCAAGTTACTTTTCTCTGCCTTTTTACTTAACTAAAAATAGATTTTAAAAAAGGGTAGCTGTGAATAGTTGTCAGGGACTGGGATGGGGGCAGGAGAATATACTGGCCATAAAGAGGCACAATGAAACCTTTTGGAGTGAGGGAAATATTTTATATCTTGATTATGGGGAAAAAAAAAAAAAAACAACACCTCACTGCCTTCAAGTGTATTCTGACTCACAGCGACCCTCTTTGAGTTTCCCAGGTGGTAAATCTTTACAGAAGTAGATTGCCCAGTCTTCCTTCTGCAAAGTGTCTGGCGGGCTTTAACTGTCAACCTTCTGGCTAGCAGTGAAATGGCTTAGGCACTACACCACAAAAACCAAACCAAACTCACTGCCCACCAGTCGATCCCTACTCATAGCGACCCCTCCTTGGGTTTCCCAGGCGGTATCTCTACGGAAGTAGATTGCCCAGTCTTCCTTCCGAGGATTATAGTGGTTATTATATATGGATCTTAAAAGTCATAGAACTAAAAAGAGTGAATTTTACTTTGCATTATTTATACCTTAATAATCCTGACATCACCCCCCCAAAAAAGTACCAGTCAAGATTAAATGTATGATGCACATAAAACATTTGGCACAATACCTGCCCAAATAAATACTATATAAATATAAGCAATCATTCTAACAATAATAGAAAAAGGTTAAGTGGTGTAAGGAAAAGCAGAGCAGACTCAGGAACTGTGGTTCTAATCTGGTTCTCTTCATTTATGGACTAGAGGCTGAGCTTATTGTGAAGTTAAATTAGACAACGTATGTCAAGTATATGCAACCTGTAGACCCATACACGGAATAATGTGAGAGAAGGAATTACTCCTAAAACAGCAAAACAAAATCAAAGGACCGCATAAATTGGTCTGTGGGCTGGGAAGCAGTTTCCTAGGTCATTGTCCAAAGTGACTTTCATTAACAGAATGTGATGTATTGTGAAAAGGAACTATGGAAAGGGGTGTGCATCTCTCAGTCCTTAATCCCATTCAAATCTGTATTTGCTCCAGGTCAATTCTGAAGATCATCCAACCGCCCTAAACTAAAAGGAATACCAATGCCAAGAAGAGCTAAATTGGCAGAACAATTTTCAGAACTGGACAGTGAGCTAGGAGTCAGATCACACCACAACTCCATAATAGCCTCTGTTGTGAGAAGTGGGTTAGGTTATTGCCTGGCTGCTTTTTAGATCGAAGTTGTGTCAAGAATCCCCACCCCTGAAGGTATTGCTGACTCTGGCAGGGACCCCAAGTTATCTCATCTGCCAGATCCTCACTATTTGGTGTCTGGGATCCCGCAGCCTGGAGCCAGGTAAAAACAATACTGCACCTGGGCTCTTCTTTGAGAAACATCCTGGATTCAAAGCCCAAAAAGGGTGGCAACCTGGGCCAAAGGTTGAACCCTAATATACCTCCACAGCCACGCGGTGCACTCGCTGAATTCGCGCGCCTCGCGAGTTTTGACAACCATCACATGACAACTGCCACGCACCTGAGGGCAGGGGCCCTTGGGCGCATGGTTCGGATCCCATTGGTTCCCGTTAACATCTGCTGGGACCAGAACGCAAGGAACCTAGGAGTTTTACAGAGCAAGTTTCCTTGCGGGCGAGTTTACTACCCTTGACTCCCGGACTCCTGAAAGTACTCTCCACGCCGGAAGTGTACTAATCCGCAGCACGTGGGGTTGCCAGGGCGCTCTTCATGTGACGGGGCGGGGCCTCAGGAATCCTGTAGCCAATGGTAGACCGAGAGGGCGGTGCCTGTGACGCGCCTGGGGCCTATCCCGGAAGTGGGGCTGAGGTGGGGGCGGGAAAGGGCCGGGAGGCCGGGGTGTGGAAAGTGTGGCGGCCCCGCCCCACATCTTGGAACTGTCGCGGCCGCCACCGCCGCCACCGCCGCCGTCACCACAGCTGTGGGGGACCGGCGCGGGTGCGCAGGCGAAAGGCGCTCTTGCCCCGCTAAAAGGTGAAGACACGGGGAGAAGCTGATGGGACTGGGACTGGAGCGAGGCAGGGCCGGAGAAGGTGGCCGGAACCGAGCCCTTGACCGAGGGAAGGAGGAAGGATGGATGGGGGAACCAAGGCGAGCGCGGGACCTGCCGGGGCTCAGGCCCTTGCGGGGCCGGGTCGGGCCGGGGTGCTGACAGAACAAGGGGTGCCTGAGCGGCCGGGCGGCGGCGCCGCGGGTCGGAGGGCGGGGTGCGCGCTTGCTACCCGAGGGCCAGGTGCTGCGGGCTTGGTCCTATTATCCCTCATCCTTCGCAAGAACGTGCGGCCTGGGCAGGGTCCCTTGCAGAGGGAATCGGGGCGGCGGAGCAGGGCTGGGCCGCGCGGCGCGGGAAGGTCGCCGGCTTCTTCTGCGGTGGGGCGATGGGTGCCGGGACCTGCTGTCCCCAGAACGGGTGAGCACCCGAGGGGGGCATCCCCCACTTCCCAGCGAGCTGCTCTGCGACTTTCTTCCCCACCTCCCCACCAAAGGATGGAAAAGTTTGTAGAGGCCGGAGTTAGAAAGTGCCTCCTAATCTTTGGTGGGCGTTCTGTAAATGCACAACTAATAGACCCATAATACTTGGCACGTAACCTGTCTGAAATGAGCCGTTTCCGTGCCTGCCCGCCCGTTGTTAAAATGTAAATACAAACTTTTTGCGTAGTTCCCTCGAAAAAGCTACCATCTTTCCAGCCCACCATGGCGGATGAAATTGATTTTACTACTGGAGATGCTGGGGCTTCCAGCACTTACCCGATGCAGTGCTCGGCCCTGCGCAAAAACGGCTTCGTGGTGCTCAAAGGACGACCATGCAAAATAGTAGAGATGTCAACTTCCAAAACTGGAAAGCACGGTCATGCCAAGGTAAGTGCCCTTCCAGGTCTGTCTTTGGCTTTAATGTTGGGGTTTTGAGCATATATATTCCATTACAAATAATGAGATTTTCATACCTATAATTTTGTAATAACCTTTTATTTTCTCCACACACAACTACTGTGTCATCAGCCACTACTTTGAATACTGAAAGGCAGCATTACCTTCTTGTGCCCTTATAATTTATATTAACTGGAAATTGAAACTTTCTTGAATGCTAGTGAGGTAAAAGGTCTGTTCAGCAATGGAACCACCAGAACAGAAATAATGAGAATATTCAGGCATTGTGAAGAATGTAACCAGTGTCACTGAACAATTTGTGTACAAATCGTTGAATGGGAAACTAAACAGCTCTGTAAACCTGCACCCAAAACCCAACAAAATGTCATTAAAATATATATTTATCTATTCAGTTTATGGGATCTTTGGTGGCATAGTGCCTAAAGTACTTGACTGCTAACCAGAAGGCTGGTGGTTCAAACCCACCAGCCGCTACTTGGAAGGAAGGTTGGGCAATCTACTTCCATAGTGATACCACCTGGAAAACCCAAGGAGGGTTCGCTATGAGTTGGAGCTGACTCAACGGCAATGGGTTTTTTTTTTTTTTTTTAATTCAGTTTAATGATGAGAAGACCTCTTTCTAACAATTAGTAAGAAACCTAGCTTTGTTTTTCTTATCTACTCTGGTAATTACTGGACTCTCTGATTTGGGGTCTTGATAATGTCATGATACTGTTGTTTACTGCTTCTCAGATCTATGACTTACTTTTTTCTTTTTTAAGAAAGTAAAATGAGATGACCTTGAAAGTAGGGGAAAGGATCTGTCATAATCAGAGTTGGTATTGTGCTCTGGCTTTACATGTATTGAGTGATATACTTGGCAGAGACTGAACAGGTTTGCTGTTCTCCTTCTCTGTTAGGTTCATCTTGTTGGAATTGATATATTCACGGGCAAAAAGTATGAAGATATTTGCCCTTCTACTCACAACATGGATGTTCCAAATATTAAGAGAAATGATTATCAAGTAAGTATTGATTTTCTTTTAGAATGCTGCTTGTTTCTTAAAAGTACATTTATTTTTTACAATCTGTTGTAATTTAAAAAACTGGAGAGTGGCTTTGTAGGTTTTTTTTTTTAACCACAATCATTAGACACTACCCATCTTTAAAAAATGGAGAAATAGTGATATTTCATGCTTGTTCTCAAGGATTATTGCTATTTTGTGACAAAAAAAAAAACCTTGCATTTTTTAAAAGTTGCACACATCGCATTCCTTAGAGCAAGTGACTGCATATTGTGACTGAATAAATCCAATGTTTAATAAAATTGCCATCCTATCTATTACAAAATGGTCCCAAGTTAGATAACTCCACCCCGGATGTTTTATTTCCTGTCACTGATCAAATTTAAGACTCTCAATAAACTATTAGAATTTCTATTCCCACCAAAAATTTTGTATATAATTGTCTGTGAGTCAGACAATTATATACAAAATTATATGTTGATTTTACTACTGGAGATGCTGGGGCTTCCAGCACTTACCCGATACAGTACTCCGCCCTGGTGGTGGTGTTATGTGCCGTCGAGTGGGCCCCGATTCATAGCGACCCCTCCTTGGGTTTCCCAGGCAGTATCACTACGGAAGTAGATTGCCCCATCTTCCTTCCGAGGAGTGGCTGGTGGGTTTGAATCGCCAGCCTTCTGGTTAGCAGTCAAGTGCCTTAGGCATTACGCTACCAGAGCTCCCAGAATTTGGTATTTTTAACTAAGAAAATAAGCTGAAAGCCATGAATATAAGGGTTAAAGTACATGGTCACTGAATATGAAGAAAAAAATAGAAAGCTGTTGTTTATATTTATTCAGTGACTATGCTATAACCTTTTGCTAAATTACAGGTATAAACTTCAAATTTTAGTTTCATTTATACATTTAGATAGGTCTTATTTAATCATAGCTTTTTATTGTTTGGAGTATTGATGATAATCAAATAATTGACCTCATGGGATGAAGAAGCCACATTAATCATAACTAATACCTTGAAAATCTTCGATTTCTATGGTAAGCATACCATATATATATAGAACTCTTTTCTATTCATATTACATAGTGAAAAATATAAGATTTACGCTTAGATTGTTTTATCCATTTTGAACTACTTAGAAAGTTTGTACTTTATATTTTGTATATTTTAAGGTTGCTATGAGCTTTTAAAGAATGTTGTCAAAAACTGCAACTACCCAGCTAATTTTCCTTTACTGTTTTATCCATATGCAAACATTTTTACATTGTTTCAATCATAGTGAATAATTTTATACTTTCACATTCCCATTTATAAATGTTTTCTAGGTTGTTTTGGCATCGGTGCAATTTGCATTGGGTTAGTATAATAACAGCAAGTGGATTATTTTAGTCACGCAGATCTGTGTTTAGATCTAGTGCCGTCTTATACCTACATGACATTGGACAAATTTCTCAACCTCTCTGGGTCTCTGACTTCCCATCTTCAAAAGAGGGGTGATGTTTAAGGATTAAATGAGAAAATGTACTTCCTAAGTACCTTGTAAGTAGGTATCTACCAAAAAGTAGTCCTTTTTTGTTTCTACTATTCCTGGGAGCTCTGGTAGCGAAGTGTCTAGCTCTTGACTGCTAACCAGAAGGCTGGTGGTTCAAACCCACCAGACACTCCTCAGAAGGAAGGTTGGGCAATCTACTTCTGTAGTGACACTGCCTGGGAAACCCAAGGAGGGGTCACTATGAGTTGGGTCCGACTCGACAGCACATAACAACAACAACAATTCCTATATGGGAAGCTCTGGTGGCATAGTGCCTAAGTCATTTGACTGCTAACCACAAGGCTGGTGATTCAAACTCCCAGCCACTCCTCAGAAGGAAGACTAGGCAATCTATTTCCGTAGAGATACCGCCTTAGAAACCCAAGGAGAGGTCGCTATGAGTCAGAACCGACTCGACAGCAGTGAGTTTTATTTCTGTATAAACTTCCACTTAATCATTCTATTATTATTGGGGAACCTAATGTATGCTTGGCATATAGCAGGTGTTTCATAAACATTGCTAAGTGCATATGTGATTATTCAACGTGGCAAGTATATATTACAGCATACGAAGGCTGAGCATAGAATTTTCTTGTGTCAAAAATGGGTTTCTCAGTTTTTATCCCTATAATGTGAGTGCTTTGAATATTTTATGTTAGAATGCTTTGGTTGATTGGGTATTTCAGAAAGATGGGTATCAGTATTTCAGATAATTTGTATTATTGTCAAGTTAGTCAGTCACTGATTCGAGCTCAGAATTTAACATAAAAGAAAAATTTGGTTTGGGTTTTGTTATCGTATAGAACAGGGCCAGGAGGAGAGTAAGGCAAGTGGGGTAAATAAGACCCCTCTTATGAGTCTGGTCCAACTCAATGGCACATAACAACAACAACAACAACTGGGGTCAAAGTTTTAAATGATGACAGAACCAGTAACATTATCAACCATATTGGAGGTTAAGGCAAAAGGAAAAATGAGTAATTCTAATCATGGGATTTTTTTGTGTTAATTTTGATTTTTTAAAATTTTGCATATTTTACACCCAAGATGAGCCTTACTTGTCTCACCCTAGTCCCAGCCTGTGGTATGTGGTTCATGCTCCACAGTGGATAAGAGGAAGACTAGATCTAGGCGGTCCAGGTCTAAATCTTTACTTTGGCACTTACTAGCTCTGTAATCTCTACTGGCAAATTACTTAGTACAAAAACAACAAGAAGGCCACATGTTCTGACCTCCTCTAATCCCACGAGAGGAAGACAGGATTACCAGCAGTAACCCAAGGCCTATTACTTCAAGGCCAGACATGCTGCCTCCCTCCAGCCCTTTCACCAACCGTTCCTCCCAAAGCACCCACCACCTCTCTCCTGGGTTCGATAATTCACTGCAGTGGCCACACAGAACTCACAGATTATGGGGTTTATTAGGGAAGCACCAGGCTACAACTCAAGTTCAGGAAGAACGCTCAGTCTCTCTCCCAGCCCAATGTCCCTCAGCCAACAGTCTCTCACAGTCTCTTTCCCAGCAGTGCTGGTCCCTCAGTGTCTCACTCAGCAATGCGTGTCTCTCGCATCTCTTTCCTAGCAGCACGTGTCTCTTTCAGCAGCACGTCTTCCTCCACCAGCAGTCAGAGCAAGTTCTGCCTCCAGGAGGCCTCCTTTTGAGCCTGGAAGGGTGGTCAAACTAGCCAATCACAGCATCAGAACTCTAAGCACGTGAGAGAGAGTGGGAACTTCCCAGAACATTGTATTGTGCCACGCCCAACAGAAATAACCCAGGTGGGCGACTTTAAAATCAGGATCTCCTCCGTAGCTAATAGCAATTCCCACCTTAGAGTTTACAAAGACTTACGGGTAGAAAAGCCACACTAAGTAATTTACTACACCGCACTTAGCCTTTCTCTTGCCTCTGTTTCTTTATTTATAAAATGGGGGTGAGAATATTAAACTCTTCATGGGATGACTGTGAGGTTTAATTAGTTAATGCTTAGAGCAATACCTGGCAGAGAAAGGTACTTGATGGTCACGTGCTCTTCAGTATCAAGTCAGCACAGAATGCTCACTCTGTTCGTTTTAAAAAGTTCTGGGAGTCTTTTCAGTTGCCTTTAATGTACTATAGTGGTCTTTACTCACCTATCCAAGTGTTTTGGTTAAATTCCTACTTCTCAGCTACATGTAGTCCTTTGTATTTTGCTGTATTCATTTTTGCAGTTGGATAAAATGAAATGTTTACCTGTTCATTATAATAAAAAGGAACCCTCTGTTTAAGGAAATAAATGTATTAAATATTTACATTCTTAATTTTTATGTGTTTTAAAATAAATTCAGGATGAAAGAAAAATTGTCTCCTGACTCTTTCATTCCAAGATGTAACTCAGATTAGAATTGCTAGTTTCTGTTACTTTTCTCCATAGTAGGGATGGTTGCCAGGGCTCAGTGATGGCGTAAAACACAGTGCATCCAGACACCTTTGGGAATCCTAAACTCTTAAATATAAAAATGTCTGTTCAGACTCCCAATGTTCTCTTGAATCATACTTCATTAAAGAAGTCTGTATTCCTATGTACCATACCATAACTTAAAAGCCTTTTATGCATTCACTGAAGTTTTCTCTGTCATTTGAAGACTATTTTCCACAGGACAGACTAGAGTATATATTGTGGATCTTAATTATTGCTGAATTGCCAAAACTATGAATTTTACGTCTTAGTATATCTTTCATGTAAATAGTATGCCTTTTGAATGTTGGGGTATGTGTGTTGACTTTTATTTTTTCCAACTTTAAAATAATGCAACAAAAAGAATTAATGATGCTATAAATTCCTTATACTTATGTTATTCTAATAAATTTTACCTGTTCTATGGAACCTTGTATTCTCAGATAGAAAGTCTTTCTTTGGAATAGGAAACCTCTGAACGAGCAGAGAGCCCAGTATTGCAGAGACAAGCAGCAAACTGTACAGGGTTATTAGGGGTAATAGTAAGGGGAACCACCCCCTTTGGTTCTCATACCTGTGTATTCTACTTGTGAAGAAACAGCATCATATATTGGAATATATTGGGACCTGTGAAGCAGTGACCTATCCCTACATAATGTCATCTGCACAGCACGCACTGCCACAGAGTCAGATCCTACTCAAAGCAACCCCTCCTTGGGTATCCAAAGCAGTATCACTACAGAAGTAGATTGCCCAACCTTCCTTCCGAGGAGTGGCTGGTGGGTTTGAACTGCCAACCTTCTGGTTAGCAGTTAAATGCCTTAGGCACTATGCCACCAGAGCTCCCATAATGTCATCTGTTGTTGTTATGTGCCGTTGAGTTGGACCCAACTCATAGCGACCCTCCTTGGGTTTCTAAGGCAGTATCACTACAGAAGTAGATTGTTCCTTCTTCCTTCCAAGGAGTGGCTGGTGGGTTTGAACCGCCAGCCTTCTGGTTAGCAGTCAAGTGCCTTAGGCACTACGCTACCATCTAGG